CATGACTGCTGTCATTTTCAGTAATAAGTTATCAGTTATCAAAAAACTTCCACGAAAAGGCCGTGCGCGACTGGCCTCAAGCAGTTGTCCCTTGGGCACTGCGGTCACGCTCTCAGGTCGCTGGGACCGCCTTTAATCCAATTTCCTTTTCACGTACCTCCAGAAGAACCCTCCCACGGTGTGGGCAACCGGGAAGTGATAACCGCCCTCATACCTCTAACAGCACTCAAGACCACTGTATTCATAATCAAAATTCCTCTTCAATTCCTATTATTCCTCCTACATCGACTTTCAACCCTAAACTTCCTCCTTCGGCTTCTTCCTCAAGTGTCACCATAGCCAACGATTCTAGTGCTCAAAACTCTGTCCCAGGTCTACTGAAACTTCGCTCCAAACTACACATTGGAGCTTTCAACGTACGCACTCTATGTCAAATCGGTCAGCAGGCTTCCTTGGTTAAAACCCTAGAGTCTCTTTCCATTGATGTATGCTGTGTCTCCGAAACACGCATACAGGATTCCAGTGTGATCATTCACTTGACCTCACCTCGGCAAAACGGAGAGCCAACGAGATACACCCTACGTGTATTTGGTGACCCGATGGCCAGTTCTCATGGACTGGCAGGTGTAGGCATAGCACTAAGCATGAAGGCGGAACAAGCACTGCTAGAGTGGATCCTCGTCAACAGTCGTCTATGTGCTGTTCGGCTAAACGGCTCCATAAGAACTCGGAAGGATAGGGACACACGTCGTTGCCTTTTTGTCGTTTCTGCCTACGCTCCCACTGACTGCAGCTCAGATGAAGTGAAGGATGAATTTTACAGAAAGCTTTCTGAACTTCTTCAGAAAGCTAAACGCTCAGACATAGTACTCGTAGGGAGTGACTTTAATGCTCAGATAGGTAGTTTAAACCAAACAAAAAGGCATTTAGGTGGATAGTTTAGTATTCCGACACAGCGAACAGATAATGGTGATCATCTGCTGCAACTGTGCTCAGACAATCATTTATTTTTAGCAAACACATCGTCTAACGTGGCGACTCCCTACACCAAACCAACGATGGACTCAAATAGACCATATTGCCATCAGTCATCGTTGGAGAGGGTCGGTAGAAGATTGTCGCTCATTCTGGAGTACCTGCTTGGACCCCGACCACGCCCTAAGACGGGCACGCATCTGCTTGCGCCTCACCGGACGCAAAAAAGCCACATTAAAAAGACCAATTAGAACTGAATTGAGTAACGAGATAACCAAAAATAGGTTCCAAGAACAACTGAGTTCACACTTAGGTAGTTCTGAAGACGATGCTGACCCAGATGTTGCTTGGAAGGACATACAAGCAGCAGTGACATCTATTAGCAACTTAAACCAAAGAGTTTCAAAGGACCAGTGGATTTCTTCAAAGTCTATCACACTGATGGATTCTCGCAAACTCGTCCCATCAGGTTCCAAACATGATGAAGAGCGACAAATCAGATCTAGGTTAAGCAAAAGTCTAAGAAACGACCGTGAGCAGTGGTGGGCAACGAAAGCAAAAGAGATGGAAAAGGCGGCGACTATAGGGAACACAAGACAGCTTTACAGACTAATAAAAGAAACTGGAATTAATAAGTCAAGTGTAAGTGAGATTATATCAGAAAAAGACGATACTCTCATCTATTCCGAGTCCAGACGTTTAGAACGATGGGTGGAACATTTTAAGGAGCAGTTCAGCTGGCCTTCAGCTACTCTACAACTACCCTCCATTCCCAGACAGCGTGAATGGAACATTGAAGTAGGTCCCCCAACTCTTGCTGAAGTTCAAAAGGCTATAGATAATCTGAAACGAGGAAGGGCAACTGGTCCAGATGGACTGGTTACAGAAGTCTTTAAGGATGGCGGTCCAATTTTAGCGATTAGGTTGACTATTATTTTAGCTAAGATCTGGGAGTTAGACGTTATTCCATCTGACTGGTCACAATCACTTATCGTCCCAATATATAAGAAAGGGTCAAAATCATCCTGTGACAACCACAGAGGGATTAGTTTAACTAATATAATATCTAAAATACTAGCCTCAATAATAATTAGACGCCTAACTAAGACTCGTGAACTGCAAACACGAGAAAACCAAGCTGGCTTCAGACCTGGTCGTGGCTGCATCGACCACATATTCACCATTCGTCAGGATCTAGAACACAGGCATACTTATTGGCGTCCGACAATGGTGGTCTTTCTTGACTTAAAAGCAGCATTTGACTCGGTAGACCGCGAGATTCTGTGGCAGTGTCTGTCATTGAAAGGCGTAACCCAGAAGTACATAAACCTTGTAAAGGCTCTTTACTCGAACACTACTAGTCGAGTCAGAGATTATGGCGAACTGTCATCTACTTTTGCAACCTCAAGTGGTGTCCGTCAAGGATGTCCACTTTCCCCATTTTTGTTTAACTTCATCATAGATCTACTGACGGAAATAACTTTCTCGTCGACTGAGTTCTCGGGTATTGATCTCCATCCAGGAGGTCCACTAATCGACTTAGAATACGCAGATGACATAGTCCTGTTTGGTGAAGACGCTGATAAAATGCAGAGTCTTTTGGTAGCACTGAGCAACAATGCCAGAATGTTTGGAATGCGCTTCTCTCCCTCTAAATGCAAGTTGTTGCTTCAGGATTGGTCTGCGCCAACACCTGAACTAAGAACAGGGAGTGAAGTAGTCGAACGCGTTGACAACTTCACTTATCTTGGAAGTCTGATCAACCCTAATGGGTTGGTATCGGACGAAATCTCAGCACGGATTCGAAAAGCTCGTTTGGCTTTTGCCAACTTACGTCACCTATGGCGAAGGCGAGATATCCGTCTATCAATCAGAGGATGAGTATACTGCGCGGCAGTCCGTTCTGTTTTAATTTATGGCAGCGAAACATGGCCATTAAGAGTAGAAGACACTCGTAAGCTATTAGTATTTGACCACAGATGCCTTAGAAATATTGCGGGCGTCTGCTGGTATAACTAGGTAAGTAATAGTGAGGTTAGACGCAGGGTATTAGGAAAGGATGGTAAATCAGTTGATGAGGTTATGAATCTTCATCGACTGAGATGGTTGGGCCACGTGTTACGTATGCCTGAACACCGATTACCACGATGTGCAATGCTAACCGGTATTGGAAATGGTTGGAAGAAAGTTAGGGGCGGCCAAACCAAAACGTGGCACCAGTGCTTGAAGTCACTAACTTCTAGTCTGAGCCATGTTGGTAGATGCAGACTACTTGGTTGGGGTCCGCGTGACTATCGTAACCAATGGTTGGAGACTGTTGGTGACATGATTCAGAATCGATCACAATGGCGTCGGTGTATACACTCCCTGTCTTCCCTTAAACTAAGAGATTAAAATCGCTTCATATCTTTCTTTCTACGAACCAATTCTTTCTTCTTGTACTATATCTCTATATGCAATCTTCTCTCATATATTACCACCTTTTACCTAACCACTGTTATGAATCCGGTGTTCATCTTGTTGTGCTGATACGGTATGGCAACCTGGACCGTTGCACATATGTGCCTGGTCCTACGTTGCAGCTGACTGACTAACTATATTTTAGGTCTATTGCAATGAACGAGGACACAAATGGGTACGATCGAATGCATTTGAAAACAAAATTACAGAACTTAGGAAAATCTGAGATCCATACAATAAATAATTCGCGAAATGTCAATCAATTGTCTAAAACTTGACTGTTACTTTGCAAATACAAGTCAATCGTCTCAGGCTTCACTGTTCCTTCATTTCCATAACATTCATTCTTTGTTCTTGTTCTCTTTTCTTCGCTCTTCTTCACATTTGTTGTCAGGTATTTCATTTGATGGTGCATACTACTTATATCTATCGACATCAGTAGCACACACCATCTTTTATTTTTATGTACTTCTGAAAAGTGGATGAACTAAAACCGTTATGTCTGGCGTATCGTCACCGTTACGTACATACTGAACATGTTGTGTCTGCAGTATTACTGCCATTGCTTGACAGTCGGTAACTAATGGACTTCCCCAATCTTATTGTTTTTACTGGGAAACACTACGATTCCCACAACGCAAAATGAGAACACGAAAGACTAGTGCAATAAAGATTTATTGACTCTTCAAAAACTTTGTCCTCAGGCATAAAATACAATTATTTATGTACTAATTTTAACACAAAATAGTACAAGGGGGAACACAGTTACTGTAAAAACACACTGAATATAGTTCGCCTGTTAGGAATTATTTATGGACTATTATTACATATATTCTTACTGGATAATTATTAAGTTGCTAGATTATATATATTTATATTCCCTTTATCATAAGCTTTCATTTGACCTATTAGTCACTATTGTACGACTTACTAGTCTTAATTTGTTCTCAATCTATCATTTACAGTCTTTTTTTGGCTTGATCTTGTATAATTCTTATTCTTTACTTTATAATGAAATTCGGTCTGGTCTGCTTGTATATAAATTACGTATTTCTGAAGTATATCATTCACACAATGGAGGCCGATATTGTGTTCTGGACTCAATGAGAAAGACAAGGCGAAGCTACTATATTTGAGGACCAATAAAGATTCGGAGCTAACTCAGGGCTGCTAGTGCTGGTTTAGTACACGGACAAGGTCATAGACGTCGATATTCTGATTGGCGATTTCGTCACTTGTTAGTCGACCGGGGCTTAAGTTATAACACACAAAATATGTTACATAGAACGAAATTTGACACTTATCATATTGAACAAAGTTGATCAGTTGACACAAGAAAATATTGTCGCCTTTTTATCCTGTCATGTTAAAACTGACAAGAGTTATAATGTTAAGTAGCCTTTACCAAGACTTAACAGTGGAACAAAAACACTTAGGATATTTTGTTTTTTAATCTTTGTCAACAAGCATCTATTCATTCGCAATCATTTTGTTTGACTTACCATTGATGTTCAAATGCTTCATATTGAATTCGCGGAAAATGTATAAAATTCGCCACGATATAATTCACTATGCTTACAATAATTTTATTTATAACAAAATTCGCATATCACAATATGAATAATCCATGATAAGAATAGTATTAAAATATTTCAAACTACTGTTTGCAAACTACATATTAACTATTAATTTGAAGTTATTTTGTTATCATAAATACAATTAGTATTGCACAAAATAACTGCATCCTGTTACATGATTCGTTATTGAGATTGTTTTTATAATCATCATTAAGCTTGGAGTTAAATAGGGGTACATTTATCAAATTTTGTTTCAACCAGCAACAGTACTTTTTATACAACAAAATAAGTGTGATTATAATTTATATATTACATTGATTATACAAACATGTAAAAAATATTAAAAGTACCATGGTTTTCCATATAAAAATTAAAGTTTATAAAACGCTAATGAAAAAAATATATATCTACATTGAACATGCACAAATGCCCTTGCATCACATTAGTTTGTTGAACTCAGTATTGGTAACTAATAACATATGTTTATTGGTAGTGGATCAATTATTTGATAAATTCATCAGTATATTCTTAATCTTGTCTAGTTTGGTTCTGTTATATTCGATTTAAAAACACTTGGAACAAAGTGGGATGGGACAGAAAAAGTAAAAAAACGAAATCGATTCTGCTGTCGAAAAAAATGTCAGGACAACGTCATTTAGTTTTAAGTAACGTCAGCTGTTCAATGAGCTGTTCAACAGCTTGTTTGTGGCCTAACTTTATCAATTGATCTTTGTTTAAATTCTCTCCAGCTTGTTTCTTTTTCTCTATCTCTTCTATTTGGAGTAATCGTTTATGTTCACGTTTAAGCTGTCGATCAATATTTTCAGTGTTAGTCACGGTTGCATCAGTTGGAATTTCAATGTTCACTTTATCAGAGTAATTTGGTGAAGTAGTACTGCATTTTGTAAGTTTTGTTGAATCCAGTTCTGTTTGTTCTGATGTTCCTAAAAATCAAATTGAAGCAGTTTCGAATTACATCAAAACACCTTTTTTGAGTAGACTCATATGAATGATGACTTTGTGGAGTATTTATATAAGACCTTGCTACACGTAACTAGCGGTGACGATAACTATGAAGAGCCGACTGCACAGAAATGATATGAGCAATTTATATTGCAGATTATCAGTGAAATCAGGCATGAAGTATTATTGTAAGTAACGTATTGCATATAATATACACGAATTATGATATCGTCGAATGAAGGACAATTATACAGCTCATCAGAACTGTGAGTGGAATTATAAAGATTCAAAAATTTGATTATGACATTTATATCAGCAGCTATAATGATGACGGAGTTTTCCTATGTGCTATCAATATCAAAATCTAATCTTAAGAAAATGGATATTCGCTTTAACTATAACCCCATTTTAATTTTTCTCTTTAATATTTTGCAAGGTTTTGCGGATTTTTATTTCCTAGCTTTTTACAACGTAGTTATTTCATCCTGTATGAAGTTATTATCCTACTAGCAGAAAAGAATATTGATCTTCAAAATAAGAAAAAACAGTTGGTTGATAATCAAGCATTTTTAATTTATCAGAAATATCTTATTTATTCATTTGAAGCCGGTTCATTTGTTTAAATGTATATCTATACAACGATTTTACTGTAGCTTTGATTTACATTCTTATTATTTCGAGACCCAGGTAATATTTTCATACAAGTTGATGATACGTATGGGAAACATATGTTATATAAAATACGTCTGTTGGATATGGGAAATCTTACTTCTACATGAAGATATATATATATATATATATATATATATATATATATATATATATATATATATAATTTTAGTGCCTTTTATTATATATATATATATATATATATATATATATATATATATATATATATATATATATATAATAAAAGGCACTAAAATTATTAACTGGACTAGATTGTAAGTTGACGGATTGTTGCACTAACCTGGAGATTGGACATCAGTTTGTTTGCATTTTGATTTCTTAGATTTTTTCTTTTTAAGGACTGGGTTTAATGCTGGCGTATCAGATTGTGACTGTTTTTGTCGTTCTAGCTTTAGCTTTTCCGCATCGTATTTTGTCAAACCTGGGATGACGAACTGTGATTTCTTCTCAAGGATTTGTACACCAGCAGATCGGTAACTGGATATTCAAAATAAAAGCGTAACGTATATGATGCAAAATCTTTTGACTAGCCAATAAATGAATTGATCTCAAAGCTAACGCCAACAGGCGAAGCAAGAATATGAAGAATTCGTATGTGAGGAACTCGTTTAAGAAATCATTTTGTGAGTACAAGCACATAAGCTGCCAACGACAAAGCGAATTGGATATCTATTGTTCTCCCTACCGAAATGAGATCGACACATAAAGCATATTTCGTTTCCAGATAGAACAGTAATCTTGTGTGTATATTCACGTCATTGACGCATGATTGGTTTCTGAATAACAAAGAACGGATACGAAGTAACAACACAGACGGTTGTTAATTGTAAGTAGGTATCAACTTCTACTTAGTTATAGATAACCTATACTAGTCTATCATGGAATAACAAGTGCGTGTTCGCTGTGAATATACCTATTCACATTTCATCGATGGCTAACTAGAGCATTGAGATTTCCACAAACCTTTGCGAAACCTCGAATACTTCGATCGACGATCCGAAAACTCATTGACTAGATTAATTTATCTTCAACAGACGAATAATTTTTCGAATGTCCATTTAAAAATGCTCATAGACTTCAGCAGTTAGCACTGATGTATAGAAACTCATTTAGGTTAAGATTGACAGATCATGTACTTCAGAGCGTTATAACATGATCAGATTTACGTAAGTTTCAGTTAATGGGTAGTATTTTAATGCTAACAAAATTTAATTTACCAGTGAAATCGTGCTTTATTCTTTTTTTAATTTTAAAGGTCTTCATTTTTATCATTTTACGGAGAGAAATTGTGGTAGTCTAGATGCACCAAATATTTGAGTCGTAAAATTAACAAGTACTAAAACAATTTATAAGATTTGGTAAAAACAAAGGAAAGCAACATAACCTACAGTGGAATTTCTTCCTGAGGAATGTAGCCCTCTTTAACACGAACGGCTTTTCTCCATGTACCATCGGGTCGTTGGGTTGGGGGGATTATCAAATTACCTATATGACAAGACTTAAACTAATAGTAAATAAAACTTTACCGTTGTCATCACGAATGACACCTTGTCTTGCAAATCCATTCATTTTAGAAACCGTTTTGAAAGTATAAATCTCAAGTGTCTAGTCTGCCGTAGCAGATATTTTCTGAGTAAAATAGACTGTTTTTAATAGGAATAAACAAGCATCTGGAATTACAAAAAGAAAGCATATTGTAAATTTACTGAGGAATTAAAATCGTTTTGTAAAGAAATCTAGTCAAGCCAATACATATGTGTACCAATTCCTGTATGGTTTCTGAAGATTAACCTAATAGGTTTGCAAACCTTATTAAATGAGATCTGAACCTAATCATGAACTAATCTGAATAATAATAGCCAATGTGATATCATAACTAGCGAAGTCTCTTGTTAGTCACTGCAATACCAAATGTTATATATATATATATATATATATATATATATATATATATATATATATATATATATATATATAGTAGTTGCTACAAGATGTAATTTTCCCACTTCTGGATTAATATATTACCGATTGAAAGACGGGTTTGTAGCTCATTCATTCTGGTATTCTTAGTTTGTACCATAATTCAAATTATCATTATTATTTGAACACATAGATATTGGTACAAGTAGGCACCAAATACATGTGCGCCACACAGATCTCATTTGATATGTGTGAGAGCTATGATACTGCCTGGGTGCCCAAACTGAAGCAGGTGGTTTCCTTAGGGGGCCACACCCGGAGCCTTCGACCTAAAGATCTGATCCACAAGGCATTGGAGCATCATAAGGACATGCAGTCCCATGGTAGCCGGTGACCAACAGTTGGTTCGTACGCCATTTGTTCCCTCAGGACCCTGGAGCCCTTGCGCACCATTGGTTTGGAATCAGGGTTTTCCAACTCCCCAAGCTGGACTCTCCGTATCCACCGAACATTCGCTTTTCGTCCTTTCAATTTGGTGAACAACACCCCCGCTACGAGAAGGCAGTGAGTAGGACTTCCCTGGCAGAGGCTATATACGCGTGACCATGTCAGAGCATTTCGAGAGAGAACTCTCCCCACTCTCGGCCGTACCAAGGCATATAGGGACCCATAATTCAAATACTCCTAATTATCACGTTGACATCGCGATGGAGCCTGTGATGGAACGGCTGGACATACATTTGAACTTCGACGCTTTTGAGGATTACATGGAAAGGTTTGAAATCTGGACTATGACCAAGGACGATGTTGAAAATGTTAATATTGTGACTCATTTCTTTACATTCATCGGAAAAGAAGCATAAAGATTAATAAAGACTGGCATTTCCAGACAAGCCGATTTCACTCCCTCATGCAACTCTCGAGCAACTGCTACTAGACCAATGTAAAGTGTACAAATTTCAAATGCGGTAAAGGAGGAAGACTTCATAAAATGATTCGTCAGATCATCAGGAATTCCACTATTTTACTACGTCATCCTAGTCAAGGTTATTCATATGACAGTTCACTAAGGAGTTGCGATGCAGGTCACGAAGATGGACACAAGTTTGGTTAATGTTTGTCCTATGGCAAGTTTCACTCATTTAATTCATGTGTATTTCGTAATTCCAAATTCTTTAAATGTGGTGAGATTGGACACAATCAGTTTATAATAATGTTGTTCATTTCTCTGCAACTAATATTAAATTTTGTAATTTTCATCATATTAAGTTGAGTATTTGTAATGGTCATTTATCTTTATCCATGATTTTAAGGAGCAGTACAGAGTCACATAGCAGTTCAGAATTAAATGACACTCAGAATAATCGTGAGACAAAAGTTCCTAGTCAACCAACTTCTTATCGGATTTCTCATGTTTTTCTGTGGGTTGTGATTTGTCCTAATGATTCACATATTTCTGATGGGATTTCTTATAAATCTGAGGAAAACATATTAAATAAATCATATCGTGATCGAAAATTCGACGCAGTCCTGATAGATGCTGGTTTTTTCTAGTGATCCATTATTCTTTAATGAAATTCTTAATAAATTTGAGGAAAATATTTCAGAAGAATCAAATGTTAATTGTTCTCACAATGGATTTATCCCTAGTGATATTCCTAATGAAGGTGACAAATATTTTCCCTATGAATCGAATTCTAGTCACATTTCTGAAGTTATTGTATCAGATGTTGGATATTTTCACAACCAATGTATGTTGAGTAGAATCCCTAGTCAGTGGTATGATGAATCAGAGGGAGTAGCAAGTTTTCCCGAAGCAATCAGAGAGCCAGTTAACCCAGATGTGAGGTTATCTCACATATATCCGTCTCCGGAAGTAAGTTCTCAACATGTATGGAGCTAACACAAAAATTACCCACAAAATGGTCGTATGTGACCGACCTCTAGCACTTGTCTCTTAGGCACTGCGGCCACGCTATCAGGTCACTAAGACCAACCCTAATCCAATTTCGTTCTCAGGTACCTCCAGAAGAACCCTTCCACGGTGTGCGAAACCGGGAAGTGATAATCGTCCTCATACCTCTAACAGCACTCAAGACCACTGTAATCAACTCTAAACTTCCTATTTCGGCTTCCTCCTCACGTATCACCATGACCAACGATTCTAGTGCGCAAAACACTGTCCCAGGTCTATTGAAACCTCGCTCCAAACTACACATTGGAGCCTTCAACGTACGCACACTATGTCTGATCAAACAGCAGGCCTCCTTGACTAAAACCCTAAAACCTTATACCAGTGATGTATGCTGTTTCTCCAAAACACCCATACAGGATCCTAGTGTGGTCATTCACTTGACCTCACCTCAGCGAAACGGAGAGCCGACGAGATACACCCTCCGTGTATTTGGTGATCCGATGGCCAGTTTTCGTGAACTGGCAGGTGTAGGCATAGCACTAAGCATGAGGGCGGAACAAGCACTGCTAGAGTGGATCCCCGTCAACAGTCGTCTATGTGCTGTTCGGCTAAACGGCTCAGTAAGAACTCGGAAGGATAGGGACACACGCCGTTGCCTTTTTGTCGTTTCTGCCTAAGCTCCCACTGACTGCAGCTCGGATGAAGTGAAAGATGAATTTCACAGAAAGCTCTCTGAACTTCAGAAAGCTAAACGCTTAGACATAGTACTCGTAGCAGGTGACTTTAATGTCCAAGTAGGTAGCTTAAACCAAACAGAAAGGCATTTTGGTGAGTATTTTGGTATCCCGGCTCAGCGAACAGATAATGGTGATCGTCTGCTGCATTTGTCTTCAAACAATGGCTTATTTTTAGCAAACACTAACTTTAAACATAAGGAGAGACATCGTCTAATATGGCGACCCCCTGCATCAAACCAACGATGGACTCAAACAGATCATATTGTCATCAGTCATCGTTGGAGAGTATCGATAGATTATCGCTCGTTCTGGAATACCTGTTTGGACTCTGATCATGCTCTTATACGGGCGCACCAAGAAGACCTATTAAAATTGAATTAAGTGATGAGAAAACCGAAAATAGATTCCAGGAACAACTGAGGTCATACTTAGGTAGTTCTGAAAACGAGGCTGACCCAGATGTTGCTTGGAAAGATATAAAAACAGCTGTGTAAACAGCAGTGACATCTATTAGTGATTTGAAACACAGGGTTACAAAAAACCAATGAATTTCTTCTAGGTCTATTGCACAAATGGATTCTCGTAAACTCGTTCCATCAGGCTCTGAACACGAAGATGAGCGAAAGAAAATCAGATCTAGGTTAAGCAAAAGTCTAAGAAACGACCGTGAGCAGTGGTGGGCATCGAAAGCAAAAGAGATGGAAAAGGCGGCGGCTGTAGGTAACACAAGACAGCTCTTCAGACTAATAAAAGAAAGTGGAATTAAGAAGTCAAGTGTAAGTGAGATTATTTTGGAAAAGGACGATACTCTCATCTGCTCCAAGTCCAGACGTTTAGAACGATGGGTGGAACATTTTAAGGAGCAGTTCAGCTGGCCTTCAGCTACTCTACAACTACCCACCGTTCCCAGACTGTGTGATTGGAACATTGAAGTAGGTCTCCCGACTCTGGCTGAAGTTCATAAGGCTATAGCTAATCTGAAACGAGGAAGGGCAGCTGGTCCAGACGGATTGGCTCCAGAAGTCTTTAAGGATGGTGGTCCAATTTTAGCTATTAGGTTGACTAATATTTTAGCTAAGATCTGGGAGTTAGACGTTATCCCATCTGACTGGTCGCAATAACTTATCGTCCCAATATATAAGAAAGGGTCAAAATCATCCTGTGACAACCACAGAGGGATTAGTTTAACAAATATATTATCTAAAATACTGGCCTCGATAATTATCAAACGCCTAACTAAGACTCGTGAACTGCAAACACGAGAGAACCGAGCTGGCTTTAGACCTGGTCGTGGCTGCATCGACCACATATTCACCATTCGTCAGGATCTAGAACACAGGCATACTTATTGGCGTCCGACAATGGTGGTCTTTCTTGACTTAAAAGCAGCATTTGACTCGGTAGACCGCGAGATTCTGTGGCAGTGTCTGTCATTGAAAGGCGTAACCCAGAAGTACATAAACCTTGTAAAGGCTCTTTACTCGAACACTACTAGTCTAGTCAGAGCTTACTGCGAACTGTCATCTGCTTTTGCAACCTTAAGTGATGTCCATCAAGGCTGTCCACTTTCTCCATTTATGTTTAACTTCATCATAGACCTATTGATGGAAATAACACTCTCGTCGACTGAATTCTCGTGTATTGATCTCCTTCCAGGAGGTACACTTATCGACTTAGAATACGCAGATGACATAGTCTTGATTGGTGAAGACGCTGACAAAATGCAGTCTTTTGGTAGCCCTAAGCAACAATGCCAGAATGTTTGGAACGCGCTTCTCTCCCTCTAAATGCAAGTAGCTGCTTCAAGACTGGTCTGCGTCAACACCTGGACTAAGGATAGGGAGTGAAGTAGTCGAACGCGTTGACAACTTCACTTATCTTGGAAGTCTGCTCAGCCCTAATGGGTCGGTGTCTGACGAAATCTCAGCACGGACTCGGAAAGCTCGTTTGGCTTTCGCCAACTTACGGCATCTATGGCGAAGGCGAGATATCCGTCTATCAATCAGAGGACGAGCATACTGAGCGGCAGTTCGTTCTGTTCTGCTTCACGGCTGTGAAATGTGGTCATTAAGGGTAAAAGGCACTCGTAAGCTACTAG